TATTACCACTCTTATAGTAGTTGTTTTACTGCTTATGACATGTCGTATTGTGATTGTTTTCTTCCTTATTTTTTCTACTATTAGGCTGTAAAACTAATAGGCTTAAGCCCAGAGGCTGCCTTAACTCAGCTCATTTGGTGACTAATGTAGTTGATGACCTCACATAGCACTCAGTAATATGTTTATTTCCTTGTTATAGAATACATTGATACCAATTTGGATATGGCTACTCAAAACAACTCGCTGATCAGGTAGCCAGAAGTTAGATCATTCAGTGGAATTCTCCCAGGCTCAATTAAGTCAAATCTATTTCTATAGATCACCTATATCACAACTACATTGAAGGATCAAAAGGAATGAGAAACATGAAATAGTACTTGCCAGATAATATAAGATTTATGTGGAAAAAGTGTATGTAAGGGCCCTTTATTTCTCATTGAGATAATTTACTAGTTAAGAAATAAAGAATTTTACAGCACATTTTATTTTATTTCTTACCAGGAAATTTTAACAAAATATCTGATGTAAGTCAAGAAAAATTGCCTATAGCAGGCTGAAATGGATTCCCAGATGTTCTTTCTGAGAAGTTAGGAAAAAGCACTATGGAGATCAGGAATAGTTTGCTTTGCAACCATCTCATAATTCAGGATTTTTAAAAGTATTAAGTACTTTTTAAAGTGTTAAAATTATTGAAGGATATTTTTTCTGCTTCGTCCATGGTGTTGATATGCTTTGCCCTACATTAGGAAATCATCTGGCTTCTGGGCTCTACTTTTGTTTGGAGGACCCAAAACTATTCTCAAATGAACTGAATCTCTAGCCTTAATACCCTGTTTGTTGTATGCAGCCTCTTGGATCTATTTTACATGGTGGCCTCTGTTGCTCTTCATAGTTAATTCCTCCCAAATTAGGGATGGCCTTGCCTGTCAGTAAAGTATTTGGGTATTTTATAGTTAATGAATGTATTTCTTAATAATATATCTGGTAGGTCTGCTACTCTAAAATTTTTAATTTTTAAGAAGTTTTGTAAAATTAACTATTTACTGCCAGATAATACTCATTGCGACGGTATTGAAGTATAATGAAGTATAAATATTTCATTTATAGACAAGAAAAAAGCCTAAGATATTGTTGCATTAGAATAGAATTATGACATCAAGATTCTAAAATAAAACACATAGCACTGTGCCAACGCTTAGTTAGCTTTAGGTAGGTAATTGCTCATTTCAGTGAATCCAGAGACCTGTGAAAGCAAGCATGAGAATAATGAAATTGTCTTAAAATCTCATCTTCAACCCAGTCCTGCATAAATATTAGCCTGGGAGAGGTCTGAAGGGGTTGGAAATACCTTTTTTTTTTTTAATAAATTTACATTTCATCTTGTTTCATTTCCTATGATAATCTTTTTATATTAATCATGCTCTTTAAATTTTCATAGTTTTAATTTACTCATTTGCACAATATAATTATACAATTTGTGGTATCTGATATATTATTTCAAGTAACAATTTCCTTACAAATAAAAGGAAAACATTAAAATTAAAACATCTGACACAGATATCTAATAAGCATTTCAATTAATATTAAATGAATTAATAACTGATTTACTTAACATGGTGGGTAAAAGGTAAGTCAGAATTCTTAGAATTCAATTTTTAGCAAATCTTATATAGAGCGTTTATGTTTTCAAAGTACTTACTTTTAATATTCAATATTTTTATATGTAATTTATCATAGTTGAAAAGAGAGTCCTCATAGAAACAGTAAAATGAATTAGATTAAATCTTTTTAGACTATGCTTTTGGTTTTGTTATTTGCTCATATGGAAAAGAAATTGTTCTCATAAAGGCATGTCTAAAGAAATAACTTAAAATTAGGGTTCATTTAAGAATTCATACAAGAATTAAGATTAATGTGGAAAAACAAATGATATAAAAGTGAAAATATCCATTCGATTAATTTGATGAGTCTAAACATGAGAATCTAAATTATTTTCCATCATTTTGTCCTCATTTTTAAAATCTCAGACAATGAAACTTCCACCGTGTCAGTCTCATTCAGTGTATGTGCAGCTATTCATTCATCCCGTAAGTCACTTTGTTCAGAAGTACTTGCCTCTATACTAATACTAATTAAGATAACAAGCATGTAAGGAAAGCTGAAACTTTCCCACTGGCTTAGAAGACCATGAAATGAAGCAAAACAAAATATTATAATGCAGTAAAGTAAAATTCATTTATGAATATTATGCTAAAGGAGCGTTTAAGTAGCTTGGTTACTTTTTCAGAGGAATCACAATGCAAACAGAAGCTTACACTGTTCCTATCCCAGAGAAGTTAGTGTGGTCATATACTTAAAAATTGGCTCTGCTATTGGTTAGTTGTGTGACCCAAGTTGCTGTCTCTCCAGGCTTCAGTTTTAAGTAAGAGATTGAGTTTAGTTGTCCCAAATTTTTATAATCCTAGAGTTGTTGGCCTTCAATAATACAAGGTGAGGCAAAAGCAGGTTTACAGTTGTTTGTATGGAAAATAATATAATAATATAAAAAGAAACTGTTTAGCATATTCACAACTATAAACCTATTTTTGTCCACCCCGTATATTTGTTTTGCAAGTAATTCTGTACACTGACATATTACTCATAAAAGCGAAGGGAAAAGTAAAATCTTGCAGATTTATGTGGATACCTCTGGAAAGTGTATGTTTAACTTTGCCATTATAGAAAAAATGTTTAGGTTTCAATCATGGTCATGATACATACATGTGGTAGAGTGGAACAGTTTTATTCCTACAAATCTGGTTTTGAATAGTGTAAATATCTGAAGCAGTGATAATTTGAGGTTTCAAATTCTGTAAATGAGAGTGAATATAATTTTATTTCATCAAAAATAGTTATTAGCCCGGCCGGGCATGGCTCAGCGGTTGAGTATCAACCTAGGATCCAGGCGATTAGGGTTCGATTCCCGGTCAGGGCACGTGCCCGGGTTGCGGGCTCACAGCCGATCAATGACTCTGTCATCATTGATGTTTCTGTCTCTCCCTCTCCTTTCCTCTCTGAAATCAATAAAGGTGTTTTTTTTTTTAAAAAAAAAAAAAAGTTATTAAATACTACTTTAAAATGCCTTAAGATTTTTCTGTTTGCATTTTTAAGTGAGATAATCTTTTATTTTTAAGGGCCTATTCTATGCCCAGTATTTCACTAATAGTCTAAAAAAAAAAAAAAGTCGTGTCTGTCAGCAAAGAACTTTAAGCCTAGATGGGAACATTATACTCATGTACAACAGGCAGCTAAAGAATAGCAGAATGTAAGGTCTGTCTTGCTGACTTGAAGTGCAGTAGAAGCTCAAAGAAATGTGGACTTAGACTCATCAGAGGAGACTTAGAGGAGGTGGAAGATGAGCTGGGCTTAAAGAATGGATTATAGCCTGGTTGGTGATTATAGCCTGAAGGGTCTTGGATTCGATTCCCTGTTGGGGTGTGTACAGGAAGCAACCGATTGATGTTTCTCTGTCACATCAATGTTTCTTCCCCTCCCCCTCCCTCTCCTCCTCCCTTTCCCTCTACCTTCCTCTCTAGAATCAATGAGGGGAAAAAAAATCCTCAGGTGAGAATATATATATGTATATGTGTGCATGTATGTATATATGAAGGAAATATAGGCTTAAATTAGACAATTTTATCCTAAACAGAGAATATATGGCTTTTAACTAAGCAAATCAAGTGAGAAATCTTGAAAGGGTTGCATAGAAAAATACTGCTGTCAGGATATTTTTTGTCCTAGTAAGAATGACTTTTACCATTATGGGAATGGTTGTGAATTGTTAAGCCAAATAGAAATACTCCTTTTCCAAACCACTCTTAATTTGCATCCAAGCCTTAGCTCAAGTTATTTACTCCCAGATTGTCCTTTCCTTCATCTTCAACTGTCTAAATCTTAGGCTATCTATCCCCTGCATGAAATTTTCCTAGTTCATTTTCTTCTTCAAATAGCATTTTTCTTTTGTGCTTCTACACCTAACTTAGAACAATGAATACATCCTGCCTTATGGGCAGGGGCTATCATTTTTTATTATGTATTCTGCAAGCCTAAAATAGAAGGTGCTTAATAAATGGCAGTTGGTTGCTGAAAATCAGCAGTAATGCCTGTATGATAAAATTAATATATTCTGGAAAGGCTAAATACCAGCTAGATAAATGTAACGTCTAGGCTCTTTCCTGGTAATTTAGGAGTTCTCCACCTTTTAGCACTTATTGAGGTTCTCATTCTATGCTAAATATTTACATTTATGCCTCAGGTTTAAGCTACCTTACAGTGTCCTTTTTTAAAAAAATTTTAAGTCAGAAACCTATGGATGGGGTATGAATTGTTGGAAGGCCTGCAAAATTTTAATATCCCTTTCTGAGGGTTGTTAGTGATCTAACTGATCACCTAAAGCTTTCCGAAGTATAGTTTGTTTTCTGTTGGCCTTTATTAGTGTGTCTGAGGAGATTGAAAATAGTAGAATGAAAAGTCCTTACATTAAAAAATACTTTTCAAGAAACACCATTACCATAATCACAAAAACAAATGTATTAAGTATCAACTGCAGTTTTTTTAAGTGATTCTCTATAGAAAACGGTATGCTTCTGACCTCTGCTTACTGGAGCTAGCTTATTGAGTGGAATAGCTTTTCTTATAAACTTTGGATGATTTTATTAGAGACTAAATCACACCCAAAAAAAGCTTTAAGAAATCTAAGACAAAATTGTGGATCAAATATGCAGCATTTGTTTTCTACTAGACATTTAAGTCATGTTCATAATGTGATAAGGATTTATTTTTTATGTACCCTAAGAGCTTTTATGTAAAATCTAAAGGACATGTCTATTTTTCCACAATCTAGGTATAAATTATGGTTAACATTTAGTTAAAAGTCAGGAATTTAACCAGCAATTAAATAATGGTTCCTATGGCAAAACAGTTTCCCTAGATACTAATTTACTTTATAACCTGTTTTCTAGGCATAAGACACCATCCATAGAACTGACTATACCAGGGGTACGTAAGGCACATGAAGAAAGAATTGAGACCAGAAGCTGCAAACAGACATTGTCTGTTCTAAGCAGAGTTCCTGACAACAGACCACTCTAGTGAAGGGTAATAAATGCCATGTGAGATGATCCCCGCAACACAAAACTGTAAGTAACTTTTGGGAATTACAGGGGGATTAGAAAATTGTCTCTGCTGACTCAATAAAATCTTCATTTTGTAATTTGTGGCCTGTATGCTTGTAAATTAAGATACACTAGACCTCAAGTAGAGGTCTAGTTAGTGGGTGAGAATTTAAGCCAAAATACAGTGCAATAACTTGGGACCTTTTTCTTAAAACCTGAGGAAAAGGTTACATGAATTTGGATAACTAGATTAGAATTAAGTTATTGGACCTCTGCCTGGAAAACCAATTAGAGGACTTTAGTCTTGATATGGCAAGAAATAGGGAGGCAGAATAGCCCAGCCTTTTGAAATAACATAGTGGAAGTTGACAAAGTAATGGAATTTTTGTAAATTAAGTGTGGCTGTACTATATATAGGATTCTAAGAAATAAAGTCTAGTGGCAAGGAAACTGGCATGTGACTATTATAGTAATCTAGGAGTGAAGAAATCCTGAACAGAATAGTGCCAATGAGAAGGGAGATGAAAGAATAAATTAAAGATATTTCAAAAGGAAAAACTGTAGAACATCACAATGAGTTGGATAAAAGGGTGGTGTCAAAAAATACATATTCTGTACTAGACAATCATGGTATCACTGAAAGTGGACAGTTAAGAGAAGCTGGTTTGAGAAGATGTTGAGTCCCATTTTTGTAATACTGAATTTAAGCTGATATGCAGGCATCTTATTTGAAATGCTTTGATTAAAAGTTGCTGACTCAGAGGGAAGACGGGGCGGGGGAGTGGATGGGGAGAGATTAATCAATGAACTTATATGCATAAATGCATAACCCATGGACACAAACAAGGGTATGTGGAAGGACTGGGGATGGGGTGGATTTGGAGTGGAGGGGGGTCAATGGGGAAAAAAAGGGGAAATCTGTAATACTTTCAACAATAAAGATAAATTTTTTTTAAAAGGGTTGCTGAACATATAGAACTAGAATTCTATGTAAAAGTCATTCTGGAGAGGTAAATTTGTCAGTATCCACATAAAGCTGATAGGGGTGGACAGGCTAACTGAAGCTCTTTATTATGGACAATAGATCCCTTTCTTTTAAAAAGAAATATATAAACACATGTAAATAAAAATTTTTATGTAAATAAATTATTTGACTAGGTATGCAATCTTAAATAAACATTTCCAAAACTGAATTAAAACTCTCCCTTTTTTCCTTTGAGTGTCATATCTCAAGCTTATGCCTGTAAGAAAATTAGTTATGAGGGTCAGTGACTAAAATGTGTTAATATTCTTGAACCTTAACCTCTGCTTCCATTAATAAAACAAAGATCTTTCCCAGTATTAGACTGAAGGAATGAAATTGAGAATTTAAATTCCAAATAATTCAGTCAGTTTAAACTTTGTAAAATTGACATGGCTTTAATTTCTCAAATGGAAAGGCAAGTAATTGAATTGTGGGAAATGTGCTGATCTCTAGTTTCAAGAAACAGTCCAGCACAAAGACCTGGCATTCTAGCTGAAGAGCTGTAATAATAAACAGAAATTTGAAAACCAGGAAGACAAGTTTTTTAAGAGTACAACTGTGGCATTTCAAAGGAGGTATAACAAGATATTCCAGAGCTGGCCAAAAATGGTTTTGATAATTGAGATTCTTTATTTGAATACTTGTTTTTGATGGAGAACACAGTCAAGAGAAAATGAAGGTTCTAAGAGATCTGGAACTTTTTGGGCTTGCTTCTGAAGAAAGTGTTAGCCAAAAATAATCAAATAGGAACTCAGTACTGCTTAAACTTTTGTAGGCAGGAGTTTAAAAAGTGACAAAAGCCAAAAAAAAAATAAAATTATTTAATTAATTGAAAGCAAATATTTTGGTTTTCTAGGAGCTAAACCTTGTTTTGTAGGATTACTATTTAGAAAGGCAAAATACCTTGCTCTATTTACCTAGTTATTACCTGTCATGAAAAGTAGCCACATGTCATTAGACAGAAATACCATAATCTACATCTTTCTTTGATTTTTAATTTTCTACTTTAATGATATATAAGGAAACCTAAAATGTTCATTTGTGCTTCCAAACTGCCTTTTAAAAACTCAGTAATATGTCTTCTGGGTATACTACGATCTTTTAGACCAAATTCATCTCCATCCTTGAACCATTTGATTAATCCAAGTAGAGCGAACCTACGACTTCAAACTGGGTTATCCCAGTTTTTTCTATATTTCCATCCTAGTTACATCTAATTTACTTACATGCCTGATCTATTGACTTCTACTATCTTTTCATGACTAAATTTTGGAGGTGAGTCAACATTTAATATCTATCATAGTCATGTAACATTTATTCTGAACTTATATTCCTTTAAAGTTTCTTTAATTACTAAGTACTCTTGTAGCATTACATTTTTATTAGCAAATTATGTATATTCCAATTTTGGCTGGGCTGTTTAACTGATTAAATGTATAATTTTATGTAGCTTTTAACTAGTATTTCTATATACATTTATATTTTCATCTTATTTGTAATCGCCCAAGTAAACATCTAATAGAAAAATACTATGGTTTGGTTTTTTCTTTAGTCTTTAACTTGAATCATGTCTTTCAGACTCTTTATGTAAAATATCCTCATCCATCTTTCAATCAACTATAATTCTTGTTTTTCCAAGTGCCTGTTCACTAATACTGTAGCATTCCAAATTGTTCATTTCAGTTCAGTTTGGACTGTTGGATGTCCAGCACTGTGGGGGGAATATAAAGACCAGTATAAAGCACAGTCCCAGCCCACATCTTGAAAAATCTTGTGGAACCTCAGACATTGCAGCCAGAATTTCTCAGGGTCTCTTATTACAAGGAGGGTAAGACAAACCTGTCCTGTTTGGCCTCCACCTTGGGAACCCAAAGAAATTCAAATTCTTACCAGAGTGTGAAAATGGAGAGTAACATGAAATAGAAACACTTGGTATTGGTGTGTTTAACTCAACTGGTAGAGGAAAAAGCCACTTTAAAACAATGTTTTCTGGATTTGAGGTACTGTTATGAAATCTGAAGGTACAGAATGCTGCCTACCTAAAAGCTCTCTCTAGTTAGGCAGGTCTTAGGTACATTTTAGTTTTGGGAGCAAAGTCCTATTTATTTTGTTGCATGTTATTGCTTTTTAGTTCTTCGCGATGCTTACTACTCATTTCCCATTTATCATGTAAGGTGTTAGCTTTTTATCCATTTAAAGGCTTCTGTGGTTGGATCTATCATAGTTTAGATAAATATTAATGCATTTTCTAAGCTTAACAATTATGAGATGATGAGTTTTTTGGTGGAGTTTGTACATAACTTTTCATCTCTAGTAGGTCCACTAGAAAGCCAAATAATTCTTGAAGTGTAGTTCTGTGGCAAAGCTGGTAATTATGTTCTATTTAAAACACTAAGTTTAATGTCACATTGTTCTTTTTCATGGCTTCTTTGGTTCCAGGAAGGGGATAAAACTTCCTAAAAATTTTTTTTTTAATTTCCTTCGTGGCTTCTACATTGCTAAACTTGCTGTTACAGAGTCAACTTCCTCAACACAGAGGAAAAATAACAGTAGAATATGGGAGATTTAGAGTGCTCTTAGCAAGTCTTTTATTATCCCAGCAAAGTCTCTGGTGATGTGGCCATTTCTATTATTTATGATAGAGAATCAATACAAAAACTTACAAAGTGAAGCTGAAGTTTGTCAGATGTAAACAGTATACAAGACAAATTAGAAACAGCTATTATTCTCTAAACCATGTATTTCGCAAGCTGCTTTCCCTTGACCATTTTATATTACGTTGGGCTCCTGATTTCAGATATGTTTTCAAAGCAGCCCAAATTAATTCTGACTTAACATAACCTAAGAACTCTTTCTAATTATGAAATATATTAAATCCAAGAGTAAAATTAAACACTAGAACTTCTCAGAAAATCTTTCTAGGGAGAACTTCCAATTGCTTATAAGGTAAATTACTGAGGTTGAAAATAAGCTAAAATCATTAGTGCCTTACCAGAAATGAGATTGTGGGTGATGGAAAGAAGCTGAAACAAAAGAGAAGTTGGAGATTAGGGAGGCCTAACTATTGATGGTACAGTTAAGACTGACAAACATTAACATGTCGTTGTGATAATTTATACTTGTGTATATGAGATAGATTGATAGTGTATATGATTTGATGAACAAAGTTTTCAGCATAGTTGGACAAGACAAACTTCTGCCATTATTTTCTTATAATTGAAAATAAAATCATTTCATTTAAGAAGTTAAGAGTTAAGTGGTGCCCATATGAAAACGTCAGTCTTTTTTTTTTCCTAATGCAAGCAAGAGCTTTTAATTTCCCTGTGGTGTATCTAACACATTCCTGTTTTCTTCAAACTACAATTGCCTGCCTCCCTTTCTTAAACAAGACACAATTTTTTGCATGTCTACATCTCAATCACAGTGTCCCACTCTATTTTGGAGTGAACACCAGAGGCTTACTTGAGGTGATCTTCAGAGATGTATCTCCAGATGAGAAAAATCTCTAAAATACTTACTAAAATAAGAAACTCAATCCACTCTAAAAGTCATTTCCCCATAATGAATTTTTAAGTGTGGCAATATGTCTCCTAAAAATCTCTACACTGTGAACTCATGACTTTTAGACACTATTAATAAAAGATTTAAGTTATTTTCATTTAAACCCATTGTCAATGTTATCAGTTATATTTGTAGTAAGCTCTAGAAGGAAGGCATTGTTTTGTTCCTTGAAAGTATCTCCAATGTCCAGAATAGTATTCAGCACACAGCAGATGCCAATAAATATTTATTCAATGAATTAATAAATGTTATATATATTTTATGTTTCCACAGGCAATATGTTTCTGTTAGCACATTAAAAAGAACATTTCTTATCAAACTAGTTTTCTGCACATATGAATGACTAAGAACACATTAATAACAGTTTAAATATTTCCTGTTACAATATTCTGTTTCAGTATTTTTAACCAGTTATCAGTTTTTAACAATCTTACCAGCAAAGCACTATAGAGAAATAAAGTGTTATATATATAATCATGCCAACTATACTCAACTAGTTAAATCATATACATGCCAAAAACTTAGCAGAATAGAAATATTGTGCCCAAGAATATTATGCTAGCAAGGGAACCAGACCAAATACATCATCCCCAAAACTAAGATGACACATTAAAACAACTAAGTTGACTTTTCTACAGAAAAGAGAAGTGCCACCAAAACCAAAACACTTATTCATAAAGCTTTTTTTTCTTATTTGGGTCATTATTTTCAATTGCTAGCCTTAACATCACTAATCTTAAAGTATTTTGCACTTTTACGTTATACATAATCTTTTGAGGTGCTATTAGGAAATTTTTTTTTAATTATTTCTTCCCTACAACCTAGTACACAAATCTGTAAGTAATTACTAGAAATGTCTAGAATACAATTTCTTTACTAAGTGGAGGAGCTTCATAGGAAGGGTGGTAGAATAAAATTTGTCATTATAATAGGCCATACTGTGCCATAACAGGCCCCCTTACTCTGCATACTATTTTTCAAGTATAGTTTTTTTTATTTTAAATAATTCATCTACATGGTCCAGTGAAAAGTAAGCCTTTCTCCCATACCTAAACCCTACTAACCCAGTTCCCTCTCCACAGGTGACCCGTATCTTTGCTGAAAATTGCATGGATATATAAGAAAATGAGCATTTTTTTTTTCTTCACAAATGGAAACTATAAAGTGGAAATATATATTTTTCCACATTATACATTGTTCTACACCTTGCTTTCTCCCCTTATAAATACCTGACAGTACTTCCTTATCAGTTTGTGAACTGCTGCCCCATTCTTTTTAAGGGCTGCATAGTATTTCATTGTATGAACCATAATTTACCCATTCCCTACTGATGAACTTTGAGTGTATTTCTAATCTTTTGCTGTTACAATGATGTACATTACCAATTGAATGTGAGCTCCTTGAGAATAAGAATTTCTTACTTTTTTTTTTTAATATATCTTTATTGATTTCAGAGAGAGGAATGGAGAGGGAGAGAGAGAGATAGAAACATCAATGATGAGAGAGTCATTGATCAAGCCCGCAACCCGGGCATGTGCCCTGACCAGGAATCGAACCCTGATTGCCTGGATCCTAGGACGATGCTTAACCTCTGAGCCACGCCTGGCCGGGCTCTTACTCATTTTTTAATCTTGAAACTTAGTATAGTGTCCCACAAATGTTTAACAGACATTTTTGAATGAGTTAACTGTACTTTTTAAAATGATACTCAACTGCTTCCATTCAGTGGTTTTTTAACCCTACTATGTACAAAGTACTTGGTGCTCTTTGACGTAATGATTCCTTTTCTAGATGTTTATCCTGTTTAAAATGACACGTATAGCCCGGCCAAGCGTGGCTCAGCGGTTGAACATCAATCCAGGATCCAGGCAATCGGGGTTCAATTCCCTGTCAGGGCACATGCCCGGGTTGCAGGCTCAATCCCCAGTAGGGGGCATGCAGGAGGCAGCCGATCAATGACTCTCTCATCATTGATGTTTCTATCTCTCTATCCCTCTCCTTTCCTCTCTATGAAATCAATAAAGATATATTTAAAAATAATAATAAAATGACACATATGGAAGAATTCCTACAAGAGGAATCACTAAGTCAAAGTATATATGTATTTTAAATGTTAGTAGATGTTATTCAAAAAGCTTTTCATCAAATGTAGGTGCTAATTAGTAACAAAGATATTATTCCTCTCACTAAATATTTAGCACAGTGCTTTACACATAGTAATGCTAACACTATTGAGTAGATTGAGCTCACATTGAAGTGAGAAAAATTTTGTTTTTATGGTGGCATATAAGTCTATGAAGAGGAAAGGGATCCATCTTATTCATCATCACTAATAGTTACTGAGTGCTTACCATATGCCAGGAGATGTGTTGAGCATATTATCTCCTTTAATCTTCATATATCCTAGAAGATATATATTATCCCCATTTGATAGATGAAGAAGTTGAGGCACAAATAGGTTAAATGACTTGCCCAAGTCATACAGTTTATAAGTGATTAAGTTGGGATTAGAAATCAATCAGTATGATTCCAGAGCCCATTCTTGAAAGCTGTATAAATGTTCAAGAAAAAGAGAAATGTAAAGAGGGACTGAAGGTAGAAAGAATATGTGCCAAAGTACCAATTGCACAGTATTGTTCAGAAAGCAGCAGTTGGAGTGGCTTAAGCATTGTTGAGGTGTGGCTGCCTAGAGATGGCATGAAAGGAGATAAGGCCAAAAAGTTAGGCTGAGTACATATTTGACTAACACAGATGCCTTAAATATGGAATCTCCCTACAAGAAAATAGCAATTTCCCTTTACTCTAAAAGAGAACAAAAAACCTCATTTCTTTTTCTGATATTGCTCTGGCATGATGGTAGCCTCAGGTTTCACTGTTTTGTTTATGGCAAGAGCTTCAGGCCTTTTTATCCTTTCAAAACAGTAGCATTCGGTTTTGTCTTCAGAGGACACTGTTCTGCTGCTGACCAGATGGAAGCCTTCCATTAATAAAGTGTCAATGAGTAAGCCGAGGACATTAGTTCCATTGGCCAATTTTCGGTTATCAGGTTGTATAGAAACATACCTAGGACACACAAAATAAATGTTTAATAATAAAGCATCCCTTTAATAACTAGCAAAACTAGACACATAAATTTGACTTATAATCACACACTTCATTTATAAACCCAAATCAGTAATTTCAGGGTACTAAAAACAGGTATCTTACTGTGATTTCCAAAGTCATTTTAATTCTACATTTAGGAATATAACTGACATTGATGAATTTTCATTGAGAAACTATTTTCTGGAGCAAACAATTTGGTCAAACAATCAAATTTACTAAACATTGTTTAAATTAATTGATTTGTTCATTTCAATGAACATTTTATACATTTACAGTTTCCCCCCTAGATCTAATTTACCCATTATTAGAACTGGTATTACACATTTTTTAATGACTTATTCCTATCAAATGCATTTTCTTCAGGTAAATTTTGCAGATATAAAATACCAAGACTTTATTGTCCATTTTTACTCAATAACTGTCTAATGTTGCAAAGCAAAACATGGGGTCAAAAGGCCTCTGGTTATTTCCTGGGAAACTCCATAGAACCAATCCACATAATTCAAGAGAAATGTATCTGAACTTTTCAGATTGGTTATATGTTGGCTTTAATAATGTCAACACTAGCCCAGCCATGCATGGCTCAGCAGCTGAGCATCGACCTAGAATCCAAGAGATCGTGGTTCGATTCCCAGTCAGGGCACATGCCCAGGTTGTGGGCTTGATCCCCAGTCGGGGGTGTGAAGAAGGCAGCCAATCAATTACGACTTCTCTCATCATTGATGTTTCTATCCCTCTCCCTTCCTCTCTCTGAAATCAACAAAGATATATTTAAAAAATAATAATGTCGACATAACACATTCACATAGGTATGGCTGTATTACTCCTTTACTTACCATCAAGGTTATTTTTATGTGTTTGTATCTTCCCATCATTTGTCAATGAGATGTGAAGAAGAGGCTAACTTAAAATAGTTCTAGGCTGCATCCTAAACTACCTGCAGATTTATGGGATAAAAAGAGCCTTGGGGACATCCCTAGCCTCCTTTTAATTATGATTGAAATAGAGGGGCTTATTGTAGCTCACATATATAAGTTCATTCTAGGCAAATAAAGCAATTCAGTAATAAAATGTAAGAATTGTAAAACTACAAAGTACATATCAAAACAAATCCCGGGTTCAATTCCTGATCAAGGACACATACCTGGGTTGCAGGTTCGGTCCCTGCCCCAGGGCGTGTGGAAGGCAGCCAGTCGATGTGTCTCTTTCACATACACGTTTCTCTCTCCCTCTTTTTCTCTCTCCCTTCCACTCTTTGTGAAAAATCAATGAAAAAAATATCCTCAGGTGAGGATTTTTTTAAAAAACGTTTATTATGTCTGATAGAGTAAATTTTTAACCTTAGGAAATCATTCCATCTACCCCCACGTCCCAGATCTTGATTGTATAGCCTAGCAACATTTTTCAAAGAGAAAAGGAGTTATAGAACATCTCACAAAATTAAGATAGTGTACAGTAGTATAGTAGTATACAGTAGGCTATAACAAAGTGGAATGCACTTGCAAGAAATCACTGAGCCAAAGTACTTAATTCCCTGTGAGGCCAATTGAGAAATTACAGATTTCACGGAACCCAAAAAGGACAGAAGAAACCAAAGAGAAATAGAAAATCAAAACATATTTTAAAAACTTAAAAGGCAATTACACTTTTCCGTTTGACCCAGTTTAAAAAGGGAAAGTGAGATAGAATAAAAGGTTTAAGCTTAATAACATACCACATCTGCAAGATGCAAGCTAAGTATTTCTAGTACTGTGAACTTGAGAGATGATAACTGGGCAACCTGCTAGGTTAACAAGCCTTAGAGTAGTAAATCACATTAGTGGAACATACTAAACAGCTGGATGACACACCAGACTCTCTAGGAGCCATTCAGGCTTATTCTCCTCCACTTTCCACCTTCAAAAAACAATTGAATGGAGAGACACAGACCAAGGAGTGAGCAAGAAATAAATATGATTGCTAGCTAAGCAGTCATCTAAGGTGGGTCTTTTAAGGCTGGAGGTTTCATCCAGTCATCTGAAATCCCAGTGATGTCACTTTATTCAGGTTATCTGTCTCTACTTTGGAATTGGCACTATACCAAAAACAAACAAACAAAAACAAACAAAAAACCTGCGGGACAGAAAAAATTCTAAACTTCAACTGAAAATACTATTTGGGGATGAAAAAATGTTTTAATTTTAAAACTAGCTTCTGGTTTGGGAATTATCTATTTTAGAAGTTTAAATAATACCATTATCACATGAAGATGAAAAAATTTTGTATTTCTAAAACACAAACCTTTAATAACAAAGGGGAAAACACTTGATGCTGTGTACATGCAAGAATATCCCAACCTGAATTTCTAATCTTGTTTTTCAAAATTACAATTATTTTCTCCAAATGCATAATTTTTAAAAAGCATTTAAGTATCTCCAGGATATCTTTTACCTTGCATGTTTCTTCTTAAAATCAGTAACACCGTTTTTCCTTAGGTTTCTTTAGGATCCCTTTTTCAAAAGGGATCCCCAAAGATCTTAACTCAAATTTTAAAAATTAAAAAACTGGTAATTTCCTCTCTATTTATGATAGTGCCTCACCAATGAAAAGAAAGTTGTGCAGAGAGGTATCTTAAAACCATTTGAGATAATGAGAGGGTCTTTTCTTCACAGCCAGCCTATTAATTTAACTGGCTCTCTTCTCCCAAAATGTCATTTCAACCTTTTTGGAAGGGCAGGAATTATAAAGTATAAAAAGTTAAAAATTATACTGTTGTGTTCTCCAGTTGCAAGACCAAGTGGTGTGTTGTGGAAGGGCAAACATTGGTCGTTCCTGATGGCTACTGCTAAAGTCAAGAAAATACCCCAAAATATGTCTACCTTTACCCACCCCCCAAAACATATGCAGACTTTTTTTTCCTCCTGAAAATTTAAGCCAACTTTCACACATAGTAAAATAACGGTGGGACATTAAAATATTTTTAAGGGGAAAAAAGATACTGACAGCCGAATGGAAATTAGCCTTAGTTTCCAGCCAAGAACAATAGGGGGAGAAAGTGAGTGAGTAATTGACTCAGGAGCAACTACCCTTAACATACTGACAGCCTATCCCAATATTTGGAGTTGTCTAAGAGTGCCAAAGATGATAAAGGATACCAGATTTGCCATGGGACAGATCTGCCTTAATAGTGTTTAAAAATAAAGTAGAAATGAGGAAAATCGGTAGTCAAATCATACGGCCTGAAAAAATATACATAGAGTGTGAGGAGATATCAGGATAAACTATTGAGCCTTTACTATATGCCAGCCATTAAAAATATCTCTTGGGGGTTAAAAAAATAAAAAGTGTTTGATTCCTAAGCCAAATTAGCAATGGAACATCATCTATAAAATTATTTCTTCCTACAAGTTTAGTGACCACAGTCCCAGTTTTCCCTGGACAGTCTTGGTTTATTCCTATTGTCCCACATAGTAACAAAACCCTTTTTCACTCTGAAAAGTATCCCAGTTTGGACAGTAATTATCTGGTCATTCTATGCATCTCTACTGGTTACCCCAAAACATTATTTTGAGTCATTTTTTCCAAGAAGTTTCAGGCATGAGAAACTTTCAGTTTTGAGGGGAAACATCATGAACTTGTGTAGAAGAGAGATGCTTCAAAGTACAAAATACCTGACTGCGGTTTGGTTATCAGTAATGCTGTCCGAGCCGCACTGGAAAACCAGGTCGTGGTAAGAAGGTCTTTGTGGAGGCAGTGGAAGTAAGGTCGTCTGAGGAGGGCAAGCGTTACTACTCCAGGTTGGCGCTGAAGGTTGCTCTATAAACACTGTAATCTTCCCAGTTAGCATCTCAATTGTTTTGCTGCAAGAGCCAAACACTCTGAAAAAAGCTTGAGTGTTTCGGCTTAGGAACCGCACCTCCACAAGAGCGGGTCTTGGCTGTAGCAGGAGTTCTTGGTTTAAGAGATCAACTAGAGGATCAAGTTCATAGAAAAGAGCCTCTCTCTGAAGCCTAAGATAGTCTGAAAAATCAGTAGGTAAAATAAGCTGTTGAGTTCTCAAAAAATCTAAGATGAAACTAAATAAAACACCATCTCTGTCCACAAAAATCTGGCCACCGTGCATCTTCAATTCCTGGTCTCTGCCATCTAACATTCGTGTGAGCCGAGAGGCAGGAAACTGCTTTATGGTAGAAAATCTTGTTGTGAATATCTTCCCTCCCACATTCAAAGTGACCAGTTCCTGATTACTCATTCTTTTGCTTCAGCCTAGAGGCTACAAACCATCCACCACAGATTTAGGAACTTGTAAATCAAACTATAACTATAAATGCTGCTAGTTATGTATGATTAATAAGTGGAGGGAAGGGAAAATAACAGAAAACGGAGACCTAGATTACCAGGTAACATACTGTAAAGCAAACAGTGTATCCACAGTTGTGTTTGCAAATCTGAGTTGCTTGGGAACATGCAGTATACAAAATAAAAAAGCTACAGATGAGAAACTGGATAGTTTAAGGAAAACTGCCAATATATCTAGGGGTAGGTATCAAATAGATCCCTTTCTTGTATTCCATAAATTCTCCATGAAAAGCTATTGTAAATCTGTATTAAATA